TGGAATGGAGCCATCATCCGGCTACAGGGGGTTGGCTTCCCCCACTATACCTGGGGTGAAGTGCAATGTATAATGTGGGCCTTGTAGGGTCCTTGAATAAACCTATTCCTGCAGGGACAGTGTGTGCCCTTCTCTCTAGTGTTGGTATGTCTTGGAAATCAGAGCAGATTGACACAGAGGCATCATATTCAAATCCGTGTCCACATGTCAAATATCAGAGCTAAAGAATAAAACTGACCAAAGGTTGATAAGTAAATGACCTACAGTGCAGTTATAGTATTAATAATTTTGATAACTACAATTATATGTTTGAAGTGAGCTCTCTTTAGGTTATGACTACCATTGAGGGGGTCCCATGCCTGAATTTCATAAGGATATAGGAATTACACAAATGTTACACTTCTTTGCATAAATACATTCTTATTCAACATGTTTTCATTTGCAATTCTCTTACCGAACACTTTCTGAACATATCCTTTATTTAAAGAAAGTTAAAAAAGTTCCTACATGCTGGTCTGAGTAATGGTTCACCTTTATTTGGGGGCAGTGGCCTATGCTCCTTAGGGATGATATGTGTCCTTACATTCCCAGGTCTAAGAGCTTATTGTGCACATGCTCGCAGCAATGGCCACAAAACCAAATTTAATTATCATATCAAATACGTAACTCCCGCGCATTTGCCATAAAGGTTTTTTCTCTTCATCTTTTTTTGTTTTTATTTATATACTAATGTATACATTTATTTTATCTACATATTGTTATATTAACATAGTATATATAATTTATTTTATTTATATATTTATAAAATTCATTCTTGGTGATACACAGCTCTGTGGGTTTTGACAAATACATACAGTCATGTATTCACCACTATAATCAAGATACACAAAGTTCGACCACCCTCCAAAACTCCTTTGTGTTGCTCCTTTGGAGTCAACCCCCACCACTTCCAATCCTTGTTAATTATTTCTGTGATTTTTGTAATCCATGCCTTATTTTTACTAAAATAATTAGAAGGGTAAAGGATCACTTTCATCAATGTTTATGGATCTAGAAAAGTTTTTTAATTTGCCAAACTTTGGGCCGATACATGAAATATCAGAGACCCAAGTTCTGGCCCTTGTGCAAGGTCAAGGTTGAGCCCTATTCCTTCCTGATTGTCTAGTGATATTCATCTGACAGCTGCCTGCCTGAATTCCACAGCATCCACAGCTGGTGTATTAGGTGTATTAGGTTTTGAGTATAAATCACTTAGTGAATCGCAATTTGTTTGCATATCTTCAATCTCCTCATGATGTAAATTAGAATTGAAATTATTTTAAATATATTTTAGGATTTCATTATGGAGGTATACCTCACTTTATGCAATAATTATGTTCTTTGTAAACATGCATTTAAACTTAATTTTGAGAAATTAAATATTATTTTTAAAAGCCCTAAACATGCTTGCTGGTTAAAGGATGAATGAGTACTTTTAATACAACCAATAATTGGTATTTTATCGTTCTCAAAAATCTGTGTTCATGTACCTGGGTGGTGTCCATCAGGGCACACCTGAGCTGAACATTTTAGTAATGTTGGTAAGTCTCTTCATCAACACGATCTACAGATACAGGATTCTTTATACACAACAGGTCAAATTTGAATGTGCACATCTCAACCCATCAGCTTAAGTGTCAAAGTGTATTTTTCTTCTTTTAGAATAATTTTCAAGAACCTTTCAAGATAATTTCAAGACATTTCTCCTAGAATGCTGCAGCTGTCACATGGAATATTCCTGCCAAGAACCTGGAAGCCTGTTCCCTTACACAGACTTCCAGCTTCTTGAAAGCATTTTGCAGATTAAGCAACAGGCGCCTAATGCTCATAACGATTCAGCTAGCTGTAGAGTAGATCTGTTTCCCATTTCTAGTTGGAGTTTCAAGGACTTCCTTTTTCTAGTTGTTTCCTTGGTTGCTATGCGCTGTAGGGACCACTGACGCCTCCCCTCTCATATCGACACATGAACAGAAGCTTTTCAAAAGAAGATAGACTAATGGCCAAGAAACATATGAAAAAATGCTCAACATCTCTAGTCATCAGGGAAATGCAAATCAAAACCACAATGAGATATCACTTAACTCCAGTGAGAATGGCTTTTATCAAAAAGCCCCCAAACAACAAATGCTGG